AGGGCTTTTTAAGAGAAGAAATAACTTTAAAAACTGCAATAGTAAAATATTTAGTGTACTAGAAATCATACATTTATCAGTGTGACACACTGGTGTATATTTACTATGGAATACATACTGACTTTACTACTGAAGTTTTGCTACAAGTGTGGTGATACAATACTTAACACACAATGTTGTCTTAATGATATGATAAGGTTCTCTGAATCAAATTGCTGCTTAAACTTTGTTTCCTTTGGTTATTCTTTCAAAAGGTACTTATCAGGGGCAATGGACAGGAGGGATGCGGCATGGATATGGTGTACGGCAAAGTGTACCCTATGGCATGGCAACTGTGATCCGTTCACCCCTCCGAACATCTCTAGCCTCACTTCGCAGTGAGCAGAGCAATGGCACTGTTCTACATGATATTGCTTCAGACAGTCCAGCTGGAACAAGAGGCGGGTTTGTTTTGAATTTTCACAGTGATCCAGAAGCCATGGGTATTAAGAAAAAAGGAGGCTTGTTCAGAAGAGGATCCCTCCTTGGTAGTATAAAACTTAGAAAATCTGAATCTAAATCATCAATATCTAGCAAACGGAGCTCAGTCAGGAGTGATGCTGCTATGAGCAGAATTAGTTCTAGTGATGCCAATTCTACAATTAGTTTTGGAGATGGTGACTGTGATTATTGTCCAATGGAAGATCATGTTGATGCCACTACAACAGAAACGTACATGGGAGAGTGGAAGAATGACAAGCGCTGTGGCTTTGGTATTAGTGAGCGCTCAAATGGCATGAAATATGAAGGTGAATGGCTAAATAATAAGAGGCATGGATATGGATGTACCATTTTTCCAGATGGCACAAAAGAAGAGGGAAAATATAAAAACAATGTTTTGGTCCGTGGAATAAGGAAGCAGCTTATACCAATAAGAAACACAAAAACTAAAGAAAAGGTGGATAGAGCAATAGAGGGAGCACAGCGAGCAGCTGGTATGGCAAGAACCAAAGTGGAAATTGCAACCTCCAGGTATGTAATTGCACAAGGTAGAGATTTTGCACCTTCATTTATAGAAATCAAAAAGGAATTGTGTGAAGTAAATTGTACTGAGTTACTGCCCTTAGCAAGTAATATGCAGGTCTCTGTTTATGTACGTTGCTACAGACTTTTATGGAGTTGCATTTGTTAACTTGAGAACTGAATTTGCTTGTATAACGTAAAAGTAGCATGTGCATACTTTGGAAGTAAGTGTTAGGCTTACTCATGTATTCTTTATTTAAAGAACTTTTAATGTGTACAATACATGTGGCTGCATCTTTAAGCCTATCTGGAAATTTATACTCATTAAGAATGCAATGGCCTGCTTGTTATGGGAAATATTTTCCCATAAAACTTTACACTTGTGCTTGGTGTATGCACTTGTTCACTGTCAGTTTCCAGGTAGAATTTAAGGTATGCAGAACTGCAGAGCTCAAGCCCTTCAGCTCATATAAAGGATTGGGGAGAGAGCAGCATCTGTTGGCAAGGTGTTCTTTGTAATGTCTCATTAGTTTTGGAATATGCTTTTCCAACTTAGTTTGAACTATATACAATTTGATGACTCATGGAGCATATCACAATGTTCATGTTTTTTTGTTTGAAAGTTGAGAAGAATGAGGACAGTGGTTAATGGTGGAGAGAAGGCAGATGTTTCAAGTTTTAATTTGCCTAATGGTTGTTGGGGTTTATCTGAAATGGAATGTTTGCATATTAAATCATAATATAGGCAGCTGTGGATGGCTTGTATCTTAAGTTTTCAACAATGATGGTTCTTCTTGTCTGTAAATAAATTAAATGAAGCTTCCTAGTAATTTCCTGTGTTAGGGTAGTTTCAGAATGTTGTTGTCATGGTCCAGGAATTATGCAAGAGGCAAGGATTTTTGGGTGGTATCTTTTATTGGAGCAACTATATAATTAGGACAATGTTAGGCAGACTTTTGAATGCAAAGCTTTTATGATGCCGCTGTGTGCAGAATTAATTCTAGTGATGCCAATTCTACTTTGGAGATGGTGACTGTGATTAGTGCCCTGTGAAAGATCACTCTGATGCCACCACAACAGAAACATACATGGGAGAGCAAAAGAATGATGAGCACAGTGGTGGCATCCTTTGCATTTGAAAACTTTTGTCTACCTTTATCTCAACTATACAGTTGGTCCAGTGAAAGCTATCACCCCCCAATTGCCATTAATAATTTTCTTGCATTTCAGATTGCTTTTCTCATTCTGACTGTACTGCTTCTCTCATTCAGACTGTACTTGGAATTTACTAATGAGGCCAGGAAAAAACCACATACTATAGAACAGGGGTGCTCAACTCCCAACCTATGGGCCAGATCCAGCCGATGTCAGATTGTCCCACAGGTCTAGAAATTTGGCAGCAGCGGAGAAGTGGAATTTAACATGAGCACCACCCCCTGCACCAAATTTCCAGGCCCTGTGCAGCGGTATTGTGCCCAAAGAGAGACCAGGCCACCCATCTGGTCAACAGGGCCAAAAGATTGGGCACTACTGGTATAGAAAGGAAATTATCTTGTACACCAGATTTCCAATTTTTAGCTTGAATTATATAGTCACTAACTGATGGGCCACTATATGTTCATTTAATATATGTTTAAAAGTTGCTGAACAACATTTTAAAAGAATAAAATGAAATACATAGTTGTTGAATAAATGGATGATTTATGTTGAAAAGCAGCTGAGGAGCAAACAAAGAAGGTGACATTACTGAGCTAGAAAAAACAATCTTGTGGGGTACTATCTACCCTCTTAACCAAAGGGGAAATATGCAAGTTGTTCGATTTTTGTGGTTTCTTCCCCACCCCACCCCAGCCTCTGCCAAGAAGTCAGGTACCCATTGATCATAGTCTTTTAGCACAGTCAGAACTCAGTTTTAAATATTTTAAGCATTTTGTTAAACACAAAATAACAATTCTGGAATAAAAATTGTTAATTTATTCAAAAGAAGTTAATTTGATGGTAGTGTGACCCTTAGTACAACATAATGAATTTAAAAAAAACCCCACTGAATTAAATAAACTATTCATAATTGATATACTCCTTCCCAATCGGAGAGAGAACATCAGCAATATTTTACAGAATCATCAAAAATGTGTAGAAGATATCTATGAGGTCTTCAAAAGATGTAAATCAGTAGAAAAAGAATATTCAGAAACCCCATTCCAAGAAGTTGCAAGGTAATGGTTCCTCATGATACAGTTTTGCTGATACTTTGTTAGAATAGGATACTCATTTTTGAACAACTGCTTCTTAAAAAGATGGTGCAAGTAAAATAAGTGGAGTCCAATGAAGAGGTGGAAGAACCAACTTGTAATATAACATTTAAGAGCTAAATATATATTGCGTGTTTGAGCAATAACTAAAGGTGCATTTTACATCATAGTCTATAAATATCTGAAACATGGAAAGCCTAAGTATTGAGGTGCCATGTGTAACTAAAGTGGTAGGATGAAATTTTATAAGGTGGTAATTGGGGCAGATTTTTATACCTGGAGAGGTTTGTATATACTTGACAGCTCTTAATCTCCTGCTTCTTGTGATCACCTTCTGTAATCTGTCATTAACTTTCCAGGATTCATTTATTATAAAGGGAACAGGGGCAGCAAACAGGGCAAGCAGTTTGCAAGCAGCTTGCTGGGCAAAAGTGGGAAGGGGAAGAGAAGCCAGGCATGAGATCCTGCCGTGGGAAGGTAAGTAATTCAGAGCTGCCTGTGCCTCTGGCTTACTGGGTATTTGTTTGGTGGGCTGTGTGTGTTTGGGGTGTATGCTCTGAGAAGCTGAGAGGGTTGCTAGCTGAGTGATTGCTAATTGCTGAGTGATTGCTGCCTATGTGGGACAGAAGCCCTGACAAGGAGGTGGAGCCAGTCCAGGCCCAGCAGGGTATGAAAAGAGACTCCCCAAGTGACCAGGGAGCCAGCAAATAGGGGAGCAAACGGGGCAAGCAGTTCACTGGTCGGTCCCCTGTCTCCCTCATCGCCCCCAGTGCCCTTGAGGGGAGAGCCTTTCACCTTGATGTGAGAAAGCAGGGAAGAGGGACCCTTTGGGGCCTAGGAAGAGTAAACAGGCCAGCTTTCAGACAAGTTTGCTAGGGACAGTGTGCTTGGAAGAAGGGCAGTAAGAGAGAAGAGGCAGACTGAGACCTGGGAAAATGGCTGAAGGACATTGCAATGCAAGAGCCATTGCCACTGCCTCTGCTTCCATCTGTGAGGTTTCTGTCCAGGCAGGACCACTCACTATTGAGACTTCCACCCAGGTCCAGTTTGGTGCTGTGGGGACTGTGGCTTGCAGGTTACTTCTGGTGACAGCCAGGTGTCTGCAGGGTGAGTGGTACCTTCTGGTGGTGTCTCTCAGGGAACAGGCAAGAGCTACAAGTGGAGGTGATAAGGCTCCAAAGCATCATCCAGCATGAGAACTTCATCAGTTTGATGCTGGAGGAGACCCCCAGGACTGCGGAAGAAGAACTGCCAGAGTCAGCGCTAGAGAAGGGAAAGGATGTGAGCTAACAGGAAGGTGGAAGTTGGAAGCTTGTGACCTCTGGCAAGAAGCAGAAATCTTCGTTTCCACCAGTAGCAGTTCATCTGGAGAACAGATATGGAGCCCTAGTAACAGAAGGCTAGGAGCATGTTCCACTGGTGGTGGACAGGCCAGACCTCCCCAAGGTGGGAAAGATTGAGATGACCACCATCAAGAAGAAGTGAGGAGTGGTGGTGGTTGGAAACTCCCTTCTGTTGGGGACAGAGAGAACCATCTGCCAACCTGACCTGGTGTTTTGGGAAGTCTGCTGCTTGCCCAGAGCCTGCATCCAAGATGTCACAGAGGGGTTACCAAGATTTATCTGGCCCTGTAACTACTACCCCATGCTGCTGGTCCATGTGGGCACCAATGATATTGCCAGGGGAGGCCCTAAATGGATCAAAATTGACTATAGGGCTCTAGGTGCAAGGGTGAGGGGGACAGGGATTCAAGTGGTGTTCTCTTCAACCCTTCTGGTCAAGGGAAAGGGCCCAGGCAGGAGCAGGTGCATCCTGGAAGTCAATGCCTGGCTGCGCAGGTGGTGTCTCCAGCCGGACTTTGGCTGCTAGGAAGAGATGGGATCAACCTAACTAAGACAGCATCTTTGCAGACAGGCTCACTAACCTAGTGAGGAAGGCTTTAATCCTGGTTTGCTGGGGGATGGAGACCAAAGCCCTGAGGTAAGTGGGTGACCTGGAGGAAGAGCAAGCAGGAGGGGGCAGAAGGGGAGGTGTTCTCATTCTTCCTGAGAGAGGGCGATCTACTGGTTACTTCAGGTGTCTGTACACAAATGCACGGAGCCTGGGAAACAAGCAGGAAGAATTGGAAGTCCTTGCACAGTCACAGAACTATGACATGATTGGAATAACAGAGACTTGGTGGGATAACTTGCATGACTGGAGTACAGTCATGGATGGGTACAAACTGTTCAGGAAGGACAGCCAGGGGAGAAGAGGGGGAGGAGTTGCACTTTTATGTAAAAGAGCTGTGTGACTGCTCAGAGCTCCAGAATGAAACTGGAGATAGGCCTGTTGAAAGTTTCTGGGTTAAGGGTGATATCATGGTGGAGATCTGCTATAGACCATCAGACCAGAAGGAAGTGGTAGATGGGGCTTTCTTCAAACAGCTAGCAGAAGTTTCCTGATCACAGGCCCTAGTTCTCATGGGGGACTTAAATCAACCTGATGTCTGCTGGGAGGGCAATACAGCAGTGCACAGGCAATCACGGAAATATTTCCAGTGCACGTGCTGGAGTGGCCAGCTAGGAGCCACGCTCATCTTGACCTGCTGCTCACAAACAGGGAAGAACTGGTGGGGAATGCAGTGAATGGCAACTTGGGCAGCAGTGACCACAGGTTGATAGAGTTGAGGATCCTGAGGAAAGGGAGGAAGGAGAGCAGCAGAGTAAGGACCCCGGACTTCAGAAAAGCAGACTTTGACTCACTCAGGGAACTCAT